GAGGGCGCGGCGCGAGTTGAGCGTGTAGTCGAGCGGCTGGCGCGCCGCGTCGCGGAGGAACTTTTGCGCGCCTCGAGCAGGCAGTAGGGCACGGCATCGCCAAAGTCGCCGCCGATCTCGTGAAACGCCGACACGACGGCGGGCGTGACGAGGCCCTCGGTCGAGGTGATGGTGTCCTCGTCTACCTCGCGGTCGATGAGGCGCGACGTAAGCGCCTTGACCCGGCGGATCAGCGCCGAGATGATGGCGGGCGAGACCTGCGTGTCGGCCAGGATGCGCGACGCCTGCGCGGCCGCATCGCCGTCGCGGTGGACAGCGGGTGCGTAGGCCATGGTGTTGGTCGTCGTTGGGGTGGCGGCCGTGCGAGGCGAGAAAAGAAGCGGGTGGTGGCAGGGGTCGCGGTCGTGGTCGTGGTTGTCGGGGAAGAACGAGGCGAGGGGATGAGAGGTCAGCGCTGACCCTCGTCGCGTGACAGCTGGAGCCTACCAGGCCTAGACCGCGCTTCTCCACCTTGGCTTCGCACGGTTCGACGCCGAATGCAGCCAGACGCAGCCAACGCATCGGAATGCGCCCCGCCTACCGGTCCACATCTTCTCACCTGCTGGGCGGCTTCTCGCTGCCCGCCTGGGTTCATCCTCGCCCTCAGACACACAGACACGCATGTCTCTATCTCGGCGCTACATCGTATTGCATTGCAAGGGGCGCCTGAGGTCGCAGGGTCAGCACCTCGACTTTGGTACGAGGGGGCGTGCGACAAGGCCATCACCGTCGCGCTTCCATCAGGAGCCCGAGATCATCGCCACCTTCTCGCCGTCGAAGCCCGATCTGATACTGCTCCCTCGAGCGCCGAAAGCATGTCGTCCCCAATCCAGGGCCGGGTTGCGCCTGTCGACGGCCGAGCATAGCTCAACCAGACCACCGTCGTCCTCGACAAGTTTTGCACTCCCCCCACCGCGCCTGCCCCTCAACGTCACAAGGAGGTGAAACGACGAGCGAGGGTGAGGGAGGACGTGTTTTGCGTCTTCGGAATGGCGACGATGGGTCGTTGGGCAGGAAACGCAACCGCTTCACCCGCGCGAGGCGGGTCAAGGAGCAGCCGTGCCTTTTCGAGCGACACGGCGACGACGAGCGCCGCCGGCACCGATCCGGAGCAGACCCCTATGCCTGGACAGTACGGGACATGACGATATTGCCTGGCTATGACTCAAACCCCGGCCACGGGATCCGAACCTCGCAAAGATGCGAGGCCGGATCCAAGGCTCGGTGCTCTTAAGACCTGGCGTGATGATGGTGGGAGGAAGGGAGGTGGGGGAGAAAGTGGCTGGGGAAGGGGAACACGGCGAGGGAGAGGACTGAAGCAGGAGAGGGACGATGCGAAAAGGGGGGGGGGGGGGCAACAGCATCGCGAGAGGTCGGAAAGGACGGGACCGAGGAGATGGGACGGCTGGGCTCCGTGAGACTGTCTTAGCATGTTCTCGATTCTCGCTGGAAGCTCACTGCAGGCGGAGTCCGCCTCTCATCAGGCGAGGGGCGTCGAATGCACCGTGGCCCGGGCGCCATGAAGGTTAGCTGGGGTATCGATGTCTATGGATGGCGTCCAAGGGTGGGGGGTATAGATGGTGCGGCGGCGTGGCGGCGTGACGGCGACGGGCGTGTTCAGATCACGTCCTCGAAGTCGTCAAAGCCCTCTTCGTCGTCGTCGTCGGCGGCCGCGGGCGGTGCTGGAGTGGTGCCTTGCGAGTCGACCTTGGGCTTCTTGCTCAGACTTGTGTCACCCGTCGGCGTCTGCGAGCGCGACCTCTTGCGCGAGGGCGCGGATGAGTCGCCGTCCAGTGCTTGCGTCACGACGTCCTCAAAGTCGAGGTCGGGGCTGTCCGCCGAGGACTTCGGGGCGGCGGCGGCGGCGGCGGCTGCTGCTGCTGCAGCGGCAGCGGATTTGGCCTTCTGCTCGGCTTTCTGCAGCGATGCATACTGGGCAAAGTAGTCTTCCTCGTCGACCTCGTCCGACTTCTTGGCCTCCTCGATGTCGACGCCGTCCAGGCCCTGTAGCCTCTGCTGCTTGCGTCCGAGGCTGGTCTGCTCACCGCTGACGGTACTGGCAAGATGCCAGGCGGGAAGCGCGTTCTGCTTGCGTTGTTCCTCTTCCGCCTTGAGCTTCGCGGCGCGGCGGGCGGCCTCGGCAGCAGGGTCGTTGGAGGCAAGGTCGACCTTGAGGCCTGTCGAGACGCCATTGACCGGGGCCGGGGTGGGTAGGCCAGTGTCGTCGTCACGTCGGACGTTCCAAGGCTGTGAGGCGGCGTGCTTGGTGAGCCAGGCGCCGACGTCGAGCGGCGGCAGGGTGATGCCTTCGACCTTGCGCAGGCCGCCGAGGATGGTGCCGAGCTGCTCGTTGAAGCGCATCAGGCTGTCCTTGCTCTTCTTGACGTCCTCGGCCTCCTCGTTGTCGACGAGCTCCGTGTTGCAGCCAGGGTTGTCGCAGACAAAGACGTTGCGGAAGACGTCGAGCAGGTGCGCCACCTCGAGCGTGGAAAACGAGCGCTTGCATCGGGGGCAGACGTAGCCCTTGTTGTCGAGCTCGTTCCTCAGGCGCTGGTCGATCTTCTTGCGGATCGACATCATGCGCCACTTTGTCACGTCCAGAAAGAGCTTGTAGTCGAGGTAGTAGTAGGTGCGCTGGAAGGTGCGGTTGTGGATGTTGTCCTTGGTCTCATTGCGGCGGAAGGTGCAGACCAGCTTGTCCTCGAGCAGCCTCGAGGCGAGCGCCGCCAGCTCCTTGACCTGAGTGCCAAGGCGGTGGGCCAGGACATCAGCAGGCAGGACGGTGATGGTGACAAGCTGGTCCATCAGGACGATGTGGCGGTCTTCGTAGAAGATGCGAGCAACGATCTGGGCGAGCCTCCGGATGGTCGAGAGCTGCTCGTCCGAGGCGAGCTTGATGTCGCCATCCTGCGGACCAGAGCCGCGGCCGAGCGAGGTGAAGCTGCTTGACATGGCGGGCGGGCAATCCGGTCGAGTGGCGGTAAGAGGTGGGAGGGTTAAGCGAAGGGGAGGGTGCGCAACCAGCGACGTCAGGCACGCAGCTAAGCGGTGACGGTGCGTTGGAGCGGCGGCCAGGATGACATGAGCCTAGCGTAGACCTCTTGCCGACTCTTGCACGGGGGGTGCGAGTGGAGAGGCAGCGCAGAGGACCGTGAGCCGGGAGACAAGGCAGGGCAAAGGGGTGGCGATGGTGGTGGTGCGCAACGAAGGAGCAAAGGCGGCGTTGAGGCTCGGCTTTGAACCCCCATTTATCGCATCGCCCGGCCACCCGCCTGCTTTTTTTCTGCGCCCCGTCCCCAGCCCGATCACGCAAACCTGCCCAGCCAGCCACAACTCTGCCCTGCCCTGCCCTGCCATTTTGCAGCAATTTCCCCTGGCCCTCCCTTGCCGCAGTTGCCGCGGGTGCTCGACCCGCCGACCTGCTCACATCAGTCCTCTTGGCCAAAGGGGAGCCGACCTGCCAGCCGAGCCGTGTTTCGCCGAATGCATGCTTCGTCGCTCGAAAAGGATGGGGAATGGGTCGTGTGGCAATGCAGAGGAGAGGGAGCGCGGCGCAGAGTCTAGAAATACAGATGGCAGCCGATGCCTCGACGTGGCGGTCATTATAGGGAGCAGCGAGCGGCAGAGCTAGCCGCAGCGGTCGACCAAGGGTGGCAAAGGGGAATGAACGAGACATGCTGGATGGTATATGGAGGGGGTCACGCTCGGCCTGCGCGCTAGAGTCAGTCGTCGTTCTTGAGCGACATGCCCTGGGCCTTAGCGGCGGCTTGGGCCATAGCCTTTGCGTTGGGCGGAGCGGCCTGGGCACGCTCGGGGTCATAGGCCGACTCGGTGGCCTGCATCAGCTCGTAGAGCTGGTTGACCTGCTCGTCGGACAGCTTGTCCATGAGCGTCGCGTCGAGACGCTTGCCGCGGAAGCCGCCGGGCTTGCCCTGCGACACCTCGAGCTGGTCGAGGTACATCTTCCACGAGCTCAGGAACGCGACAATCTGCAGCGGGTTGTCGATGTCCTTGTGGCGCCGGAACTCGTCGCGCACATAGTCATCGCCCAGCACCCGCATGTCGGCCGTCAGGTGGCGGTGGGCGCGGTGGATGCGGCGGTAGAGCTGGATCGGCGGCAGGATCGTGGCCGACGCCTCCCTGACGGCGCTAGAGGGCGCAGACGGGGGCACCGGCTGGTTCGACGCCTTGGCCAGCTGGGCCATGGTCTGACGGAGTCGCAGCAGCTGAGTCGGCCTCATCGTCGAAGTGTGAATCAACAGGCGGGGGCGCGAGAGGTGGTTCCTGCAGACAGGTGCGACGAAGGTTGTATTCTGTGCGGACCTGCTGTCGGCGACGCGATCCAAGAGCGGGAGGGCAATGCATGCGGACTTGGTCAGTCAAGACAGCCTAACAGCATGGATGGGCTCGAAGGCGAGGTAGCGCTGCGACCAGCAGCGAAAAGAGACACCACGAGAGGTGCACGACGGCTCGGAGAGTCAAAGTTGCGGCATCGACCCTGGCAGCGAAGCCCGCGAGCGGGAGACGCCGCCAGGGGCTCGGCGAAGAGGTGCCAGATGTATTGAGCGCATTATGTATGTAACCTTGCGCGTTCGCTCATTGCCGGTGTGGGGAAGTCGTTGTGGTGTCGCTCGAGCTGGCAGGTGCGTTGGCCTTGGGGTCAAGGGCGGTACTCACGAAGACGTTGGCGAGCGCAGCCGGAGGAGGGCGCGCGTTGGAGAAGAAGAGAAGAGAAAAGGAGGCGGGTTGCGGCGTGGCTCGACTTTATGGGAAGCGGGCGGGCGTCTGTGGGCTTGTCGGCGGGCGTCGAGGCTTTTTTTCTTTGCAGAGATGGGAAGATGGGGCCGAGTGACGGTCGCTCTTTTTCCGCCTCCTTTTGAAGGAACGGCCCACCGCAGCCAACCGCTGCTGCCCTCGGCGGGCGGATGACAAAGCCTCGACACTCGACACTACTCTGGCTTCGACCGGCCTCGACTGGCCTGGCTGTCTTGGTTGCATGACGGCGAGGAAGCTGCAGGGCCCGATCACTTGGACTCAATCTTTTTTTCCCTCTTTGCCGCCGCCGCCGCCGCCGCCTTCTCTGCTGATGGCCGCTCTGACCACCTTTGCGCTTCGCCGCAGTCCGCCGCGCTCTAATTCGCACTCCTCCCCGTCTGGCAGCCTGCACCCTCGTCACTCTTCCTGCAGTTCACCGCCTGCCAGCATCCGTTCTATCGCATGCCGTCCCCGCTGCTTTGAGCGCCGTATGATCCGCCAAACCCTCGTCTAAGGCCGCACCGCCATCGACCGCTGGAGGCGCCTCCAGCACCAATCCTTGTCCTCTCTGGTTGCTCCTGAATTCGACCTCGGTCACCCGCATCGACTTCGTCAAGCTCGACGAGGCAACGAAAGCCCCCGCCAACCGCTCACCCCCGCCGCCATGAGCAGGCTTCCGCTGCCAATATCGCACGACCAGTACGCGGGTTGGGCGCCCCGGCCCCTCACGTCGGTCTACACGCCCGAGATCCCCAGGATCACCAACCAGATCTCGCGCGAGGAGATGTGGAACGAGTACATCAGGAAACGCAGGCCCGTCGTCATCCAGGGCACCCTGTCCGACCCCGAGTGGGCGGGCGAGCGCTGGACGGACCTCGAATACCTCCGCTCCGTGGCCGGCAACGTGCCCGTCAAGATCGAGCCCATCCATCCCACGGCAGGCCACTTTGGCACCTCTGCGGCCAGAAAGACGGTCCCCTTCTCCGAGTACATCGACATCCTTCAAGATCCGAGCCAGGCCGGGAAATGGTACCTGACCACGCAGTACGACGACGGCGACGAGGGCGGCGATGAAGACAACGACACGGGGTCATCCTCCTCGAGCGAGGCTTCGGGATCCGACCTGGCGACGCACGACGGGTCCATCATCGGAGCCCTCGACGGCGGCAAGGCCGACTTCAAGCCCGAGATCGACACGGTCCTCCCGGCCCCCACCAATGCGCTGTCAAACGACTTCCCCGCCAGGCCGGACCTGCTCGGCCAGCTGGTGCTCCAGCAGTGCAACCTCTGGCTGGGCAGCAGCAAAGAAGGAAAGAGCTCCGGCCTCCACCACGACTTCCACGACAACCTCTACATCCTTCTCTCGGGCTACAAGCGCTTCCTCCTCTTCCCGCCCTCGGCCCACCGTCACCTCCATCCGAGAGGCCAGATCGAAAAGGTGCATCCTAACGGCCTCATCGTCTACACCGCTCCCGGCGAGGTACCTCCCTTTGCACCGGGAGCACGGCAGCGCCTCTCGATCCGGCCCGACGGCCTGGTTCCCTCGGACGCCGCCCGATGGCGCCGGCAGGCCCGGCTCCGGGTCAAGCAGGAGATCGACGACCTCGCCGCCGCCGCCTGCGGCGAAGGTGAAAAGCACCGGCAGCAGCGAAAGGGCAAGGCCAAGCAGACGCACGCGCAGGAGCTGGCCGAGCAGGCGTTCCTGCAGGCCGAAGCCGAGCTCCTCCTGTGCAGGATGGACGAAGAGGGCATCGACCCCAACGCCAACACAAGCGACGAAGAAGACGAAGGCGACGATGGCGAGATCGACAGCGAGGACAACGAGCGCTCCGCCCGGCTTAGGAGGATCATGGCAGCCAGAGGGCTCACCTTTTCCAACGGCCGAGGGGGCAGCGACGAGGAAGACGAGGAGCTGAGCTCGGAAGACGACGTCTACTCGGAGAGCGAAGAAGAGGGCAGCCAGGACGGAAGGATGGAAGACCTTCTCGACAGGGTGCCAGAAGAGCTGCATCCGCTCGCCAGGCGCGCCTTCATGGGCGACAAGGAGGCGATGGACATCTTCTGCCAGCAGGTCAACCGCCTCACAGAGGGCGCGCCAGGGTCTCTGGATTCGGACTCTGACGAGGATCCGACAGAGCGCAAGGCGCCCCCTCCGGATCTAAAGAGGATCCATGGCCTCGATGACGACTTCGACAGCGATGGCGGCGGCTCTCCACCATTCACGAGCTTTTCGGCAGAGGAACACGAGGACGGCGACCCTCCCAGCGATGCCGAATCGTCTGGCGGTGAACGAGAGCGCAAGATGGCCGACGGCAAGAGCTCGCGCAAGAAGGTCAAGATCGCTTCCGAGATCCAGAGCATCGAGGCCCTCCCGGGTCCAGACTCAGACGAAGGCAGTGAGGACGACGAGGACATGGACGATGACGGCGACGGCGACGGATTTCCCGCTGTCGGCGACGACATGGATGACGACGAAGATGATGACGACAGCGGCGACGATTCCGACGACTCTGGGCCACCGCTTTTCCCCGAGGCAGACTCTGGATCCGAGTTTGGCGACGTCGACGCGGGCGAGGCGGAACTGCAACGGCTCCTCGCTCTGTCCGGGCAGGCCGACGACGACGACGACGACGACGACGACGGAAACGATGCGGAAGACAAGGAGCCGCAGAGCTTCTCGCTGGTCCATCCGCGGACGCTTCACGCACACTTTGGTATTCCCGACGACCCCTGCCGCCCGCCCGCCGCTGCCGCCAGCAATGGCTCGAGATCAGGATCGAGCACATCAAAGGCCAAGGGCAACAGCAAGAAGAAGGCCTCGCGTGTTGCCGTTGAAGACGTGGAGCTCAAGGGTCCGCGGCCGCTGCTGGACTGCCCGGAGCCTTTTGAGGTGTTTTTGAGACCCGGCGAGATGCTCTACCTGCCCGCCAGCTGGTATCACGAGGTGACGTCGTCGTCGCTGCCGCCCTATGGCTCGGACGATGCCACCGCGGCCGACGAGGGCAGCAGCAGCAGCGGCAAGAGCGGTGCTGGCGCTGGTGCCGACCAAGGCTTCCACATGGCGCTCAACTACTGGTTCCACCCTCCGGATGCGCTCAAGTTTGAGCCGTCCAAGGCGGCCACGTCGTCGGGCACCAATAGCGCTCCGAAGGCGCCTGGCACCGGGCAAGACACCGAGGCGCCCGGGGCGGTGCACGTGCCCGGGTTGGGGGTCGAGGTTGGGGAGAGCGCGACCGAGAACCTGCAGGGGGGGACGGGGTCGTGCGAGCGGCCGTACCGCGATGCCGAAGTGTGGGACGAGGTGGCGCGCACCGTGTACGCCGAGGTGGCGCGGTGTCGATCCGAGGCGGCGCGATGGGCCATGGGACGGGGTGGGAGCGAGGCGGATGGCGCCAAGGGGGCGGAGGACAAGGCTTAGGCTGGCTGGCGGCTTGCGCGCTGCCAGGGCCCCGAACGACAATCTCACCGAGTGCCGCCGTCGACGGTCATGCTCCAGGTGAAACGCCGTGCTTTCGTGACGAGAGTGATGCGACATGCTGCGACAGTGGGAAGTCCAAGACGGGACGAGGCCAGGCGAGACGAGGGCTGACGGCTGGCTGTTGTTGATGGTTATCGAAGGTAGCAACGGCCGCGGGTGCGGAGCCTGGCCCCGTGCGTGGCTTGGCTGGTCTGTGCGTGGATGCTTGAGCCTCGTGGCTTTTGTTGTTTCCCTCACACTCAAGATTGGCCGGCGTTGTTCTGCATGCGGCCACGTCGACTGCCTGCTCCTTGCCTCCACCAAGGGGGACCCGGGTTGACCACCGCTTCCACCACCACCACCACCACCACCAACACCACCTCCTCCTCCTCCTCCATCCTTCCTTGCTTCGCCGCAGCAGACCGCAGCCATGCTGTTGACCCGCTAGCGAGCACAACTGATTATCGACACTCCGCTTCTTGCCCTCGCTTTCCCCGCCCTCGCCATGCCTTCCCTCGCGCTGACAGCGGTCGCGCTGCCCATCGCCCTCACCCTCCTCCTGCTCCCGCCACTCGTACAGTACCACGCATCCCTACCCGCACACCTCTCCGCCACCCATCCTGGTCTGCGCGACACGCTCCTCTCATTCTTCCGCCCCTCGTCGCTGCACCACTCGTCGATCTCGATATGGACGCGCCTCGACCACGCAGCCCACCCGCTCGTCTCGCGCTTCGTCTCCATAGCCCTCACGCCAACCCAGCGACAGTCCATTCTCGACTTTGACAGGTGCTTCCCGGACCTCCTCGCCTCGTGCGGCCTGGCCGTGCTGGGCCTGTGGGCCACCTCGCTGGCGATTCAAGGTACAAAGGACGTCTTCAAGCAGCGCGGCTTCAAGGGCAAGGACCTGCTCAAGAGCCGCCAGCTCGAGGAACTGTGAGCAATGTTGCGCGGATGCGTCCGCTCCTCGTCAGTGTACGAGCCAAGTTGCGACAGCTGAATCCCTCTCCCCGACCGGCTTCCAGTCCCGAGACGATGGGCCTCCCGGCCGCGAGCGTCTACATGGCTCTCCTCTTCCTCTTCATCCCCTTCCGCTACTTTACCTCGCCCACCTCGCAGGCTGGCCACTCTGCGGCAGCTGCGGGCTTCGGACTGGATCCGGGGCCGCTCAAAGATCCCATAGGATGGGAGGGCAGGATGGACGGCAAGCGCGACTTTCCCCACCACGAGGTGCGTAGCCGGCGCGCCCCTCCTCCTGCTGAGCCCGGTCTCATACGACGCCTCAGGCACAAAGATTGACCTCCCGTCCCGTCTCGCTGGCTGACCCGGCCCGGCGTGACCTGTTTCTGGTCCTGCTGATGCGCGCAGCTGGCAAGCTACCTCTCTGCGCTCCTCACGTTCCTCTGTGCCATCGTGCTCGGCTTCCTCGACGACGTCTTTGACATCCGGTGGCGCTACAAGCTCCCCATCCCCATCATCGCCAGCATCCCGCTGCTGATGATCTACTACGCGGGCGGCGGCGGCACGACGGTCGTCATGCCCAGCTGGCCCGAGAGCCTGCGCGCCTGGCTGGGCACATCGATTATCGATCTCGGTGAGCCCCCGCAGCTGGCGTCGACCGGCATGGCGGTAGCGCGCGTGCTGAACCCTCGCCTTCGCCCTTTACCCCTCCCCTTCGTCTCATCTCGTGTGCCTCGGCCGCGCAGGCCCGCTCTACTACGTCTACATGTCGCTCCTCTCAACGTTCTGCACAAACAGCATCAACATCTTGGCGGGCATCAACGGCGTCGAGGTGGGGCAGGCGCTCGTCATCTGCATCTCGCTGTGCATCAACTCCCTCCTCTACCTCGATCCGCGCGCCGGCCTACCGGGCAGCTTCGCGTCCGAGGAGCTGCTGCGTCGCCACCTCTTCAGCCTCTATTTCCTGCTGCCGCTCTCGGGCGTCTGCCTGGGCCTGCTGGCGTGGAACCGGTACCCGGCGCGCGTGTTTGTGGGCGACACGTTTTGCTACTTTGCCGGCATGGTCTTTTCCGCCGTGGGCATCCTGGGCCACTTCAGCAAGACGCTCCTCCTGTTTTTCGCACCGCAGATCTTCAACTTCCTCCTGAGCTGCCCGCAGCTGTTTGGCCTCGTGCCCAACCCGCGCCATCGCGTGCCGAGGTGAGTCGGTCCGCGCCCGTCGTCGTCGTCGTCATTACCGTCCCCTCTCTCCCTCCTCTCGCGCCTTGCTCTTGACGGGATCGAGGACGGGCCCAGGCGACCGTACCAGCCAATCCTAAGACCAATCTACGTCCCTTTCCCCCCGCTCTTTGCCTTCACCCTTCCTCGTCAACCTTTTCCGATGGAAGGTTCGACGCAAGTACCAACAGCCTGTACCCGTCCATTACGGAATTCAGCGACGGCACGACCCTTCCGCTGCGCACCGAGGGGAAAGGCGTGGTGGTGGTGGCGAGCCAGCCGAAAAAAGTGGCATCCGGCTCGACAGTCGTCATACTCCGACTGCTCGAAGCGGCAAGACTGGTCCAACTCGAATGGCACCACCCCCCTTCCTCGTCGTCTTCCTCGTCGTCGTCGTCGCCGAGAGGAAGGGGAAAGAGGAGGTTGAAGAGCACGACCAACCTCACCCTCCTCAATGCCATCCTCGTCTTTCGCGGCGTACGACATCGACCCTCCTCCTCCACCACCACCATCGCCCCTGTCCATGTCGGTGTCGGTGTCGACACAGGGAAGATCAACGACGACGGGGCAAGGCCGTATACCGGTCCGAGCATCTCCGAGTTGGGGCTGTGGTACCACGTCATGGCCGTCCAGGCCCTCGGATCCCTCCTCGCCTTTGCGGTGCGCTACCGCGTCGCCGCCCTCGTCTTCCCCACGTCCTAGGGGAAAAAAGGCCTTTCGCCGCTCCCTCATCGCTCAGCGCCAGACTCTCACTTTGCACGCACACTTCAGGCGGAGACTCGGAGGGCAACGAGCGAAATAAGAATTAAACAATCATGGACAAGCATGGAAACGTCGAGACGGGCTCGCCCACCGCCTGTCGCAGCGGCCGGCAGCGGGCCGTCTCGACGAGGGGGGTGGGGCAGTAAACGAGCGACGTTGAGAGCGGCCTGGACTGGAGGAACAGGGAATGGGTCCGAGGAGAGAGGTAGGGTATCCCGACTCTGATATCACGTCCGTTGGAGCGAGGAAGGAGACTGGCGTCGCACGCTCATGCTGCGTCGCCCGAAAAGGGCCGAGGGGACAAGGATGAGTGAGGATGTCCCCGTGTCAGTCTGCTGAAACCCTTGTCTTGTCGAGAAGAGCGAGGCGAAAAGGCGATGGAAGCGGGAGGAATGCAGCATCACCCGGCCACAAGGCAGCCCCACCTCCGCCTACTCGTCGTCGCCCTGTCGCGCAGTCTGCATGGTGCGCATGCTGCTGGCGACAGAATTCTGACGGGCAAGGTCGGCGGGCGTCGGGTTCGGAGCCGCCCCTGGGTGCCCGAGTCCAAAGCCAACGACACCAGGCAGAGTGTCAGCGGCCGAGGCTCGTGGTGACCAGCCTCCCGAGCCGATTGGTTGCTGCACGCGGCACGCCTGGCCGCTCGTCTGTCGCGAGTGGAAATCACGCGGCGTTGCTGCCCAACTCACCTTCCTTGGTGGCCTCGGCTTCCTCGGTCGCCTTCTGTGCGTGGGTCGGACGGGTGGGCAGAGGCGTCTTTCGTGTCAGTGCGATGCCGTGGCGTGTGGCTGCGATCGGGCGTGGCGCCGACGCCGACGTCGAGTCGAAGGACGATGCTCACCTCCTTGCCCGCCGAGCTGGCGCTGCGGTTGAGGCCGTCCTGCGACGGCTCACCGGCGCGAGCGGCGTTGTCGGTCTTCTTCTCGAGCAGGTAGCCTGCAGTCGGGTGGGTCGATTGAGTCGCGAATCGCGTCGTGTCAGCAGCTGGTCTTGGTCTCGAGGCTGTCCGGGCCCCAAGCATGTGAGGGCCGCACTTACCGTTGGGGCCGACCTCACCCTGAGGCGCGCCAGAGTAGGCCGGGATCTCCTCCTCCTTGGCGGAACCGGTGGTGGCGGCCTGGGGGATGGCGGGGGCGGCCGTGGCGGCGGCCGAGGAGCTCGTGTTGTTGTGGACGTGGGCGTTCTCGTCCTCGGCCTCCTCGTACTCCTCCTCGTCCTCCTCCTCGATCGAGCTGCCGTCCTCCTCTTCCTCCTCCTCCTCCTCGCTGCGGTAGCCGGCGGCGCGGACGGCGGCGGGGACGGGTCCGGAGCGGTCCATCTGCTCCGACGTCGTGAGGTAGACCTTGGAGAGCTGCTTGATGTCGTTCCACCACTCCATCATCTCCTCGTGGCTGCGGGCGCGGAACGTGTAGGCGTGCTCGCGGCCCATGCCGAGGCTGGCGATGCCCTTCTGCGGGATGGCGCTCTGGCCGCCCGTGACCTTGCGTCCCTCGATGTGGAACTTGTGGCTCTTGCTGGCCATGGTCGAGGGCGGTCCGAGGGTGCACTCGGGCAGGAAGAGGGAGAGCTCTGGCTGCGGGTGCTTGGTCTGGTCCGAGGAGCCGTGCTCGTGGAGGTAGCCGGCGGGGGTGAGGACGTAGAACGACTCCTTGTACGTCTTGGTGAAGCGCTTCTTGCGCTCGAGGATGCCCTGGTGGACGGGGATGACCGACGGGTCCTCCTTGCCCGGGTAGTCGATCGTCTCGGGGTTGCGGAGGGGCGTGTCCGGGTCGAGGAGGTGGTCGGAGCGGGCGGCAAAGGCGATCCACTCGGCGTTGGGCTGGAGGCTGCGCATCTGGACGCCGAGGCTGAGCCAGGTGTCCTGGACCTGGGCCGACATCCTGCCGCTCCACTCGTCAAACGTCTGCCAGGCGCTCTGGATGCTGCGGACAATGCCCTCCTCAAAGTGGGCCGAGTTCTGCTGCATGATGATGATGCTCTTCTGCAGGGCGTTTTCCTCGTTGACCTGGCGCTGGAGCTGGCGGAAGACGGCCTGGTTGGCGCTGTAGGGGTCCTCGCGCGCCGTGACGCTCATCGGCGTGTTCTTGAGCAGGGTGATGGAGCGGGCCAAGTCAGAGATCATCTTGGTCGACATCTCGCGCTCCTTTGCGACGCCGTTGGCGAGCTTGCCCGTGTCCTGCTGGACATTCTTGATGTGCGCCTTGATCTCGGAGCGGAGCTTCTGGAGGTGCTGGACAATGGAGCCCTCGACCGTCTTGGCCAGGTTGGCGTGGTGGTCGGCGATGACGCGCGTCTTGTCGCGGATGCCGTAGTAGATGTCCTGGATGCCGTCCTCGCCGAGGTACTGGTTGCCCTCGCGGAAGGGCACCTGGATGACGCCGCCGAGCTTGGTGAGCTCCTTTGCGGTGTTGTACTCGATGTCGGCGATGCCCTCAAAGTAGCTGATGAGCTGCTTGGTGATGTGCTTCCAGCCTGTGTGCAGCGGAGCGGCGGGGCGCGACGTATCAGAGGGCGGGCAAGGATAGTCGTCGTCAGCACCACGGCCGTCGTAAATGCCCCCGAGCTCGTCAAGGGTACCTGCCGAGGGACAACGCGCCTACTCACCCGTGAAGCGCTCGATGAGGATGTCCGAAGGGCGGAGCTCGTGCGGGCCCGTGTTCTTCTTGATGAGCGATGCGTTGCGGCTGGCCACAGTCGACTTGCGGCTGAGCGAGGTCGCCCTGGTCATGGTGGACTGGGCGTCGGTCATTGTGGATGGCGGTGGCGGCGACGACGGCGCGGATGGATGGATGCGGGCTGGGTCGAAGGTGGCGGGGAGGGAAAGTCGGCTGTGTGTTGCTGCTGTAGCTGGCTATCGACTAGTGTGCTGGCTGTCGAAGCTGATGGATGTGATGGGAGCGAGGCGGATGGATGGTGATGGTAGAGAGTGAGGGAGTGTTGACGGGGAAGGGAGGCACGCATAGGCCGCGCCCGACGGCTCTCTGGGGGTTCAAGTACTGGAGGATTGGGCCGGGCGGGCCAAGGCAGAGCAACGGTTGACCGCAAGGCTCTGGGCCAGTCATCCAGCCTGCCGACCGAGCGAAGCAGGCGCTCGACGGCGGCTTGACCGTCGGTGCTTGCCTGCGGCGACGACGAGCTGGGGGTGACGCAACCTTGCCTGCCAGGCCTCTGGCTGGCTTGCCTGGCTGCTCGCTCTGGCGCTTGGGCCCAGATCGTGCCATCCGAGCCCTTCGCTCTGCGTCTCTCTGCCTGGAAGGGCGGCCAGCCTGGACCCCCGCCGGTCGGCCTCTCGGCTTGGCTGACCAGCAGCCTGCCTGCTGGCAGATCAAAGCCCAGGCAGGCGAAGCGCACGCATGCATGCAGCGGTGCTCTGCGCTGCGGCGCGGGCAGCGGCCGAACCAAGGCCAGGCCAGCGAGGGCGGGGTGCCGGGGCGAGCCGTGCTGGCTCGACTTGGCTGACCCGCCTTCGTGCCGCTCTGTGCCAACCGGCTGGCCGCTGCAGGCAAGGCTAAGCTGCGTTGCGCTTTGTTGCGTTGCGTTGCGCTGGGCTGGCCACTTTGGGTCGGCTGCGTCGGCGCGGCTGGCACGTCGGCCCACAGGCGCGCGCGGTTGGATGACGTCAAAGGATCGACTTCTGTCTCTGCTTCGGCTCGCTCCTTTGACCGACGGCCCCCGCCAACCGGCCAGCCAGGGCGCGCTCGTCCTAGCCTGCCTGCCTTGGCTCGTGCCCTAAGGTTGCCTGCCTGCCTCTGCCGCCCGCCTGGCCTGGCCGCCCGGCTGGGACCCCCCCAAAACCGCCGCGGCGTTGCTTGGCTGCGGCTGCCCGCCCGCCCAAGCCCTGCCTGCTTCTTCTGTCGTTGAACGTGCGCCGTTGCTGCTGCTGCTGCTGACTTCGACGACGGCCGGCCTTACCTGCTCCGGGTTGCAGCCTCCTTTCCAAACGCCGTCCGACGTTGCCTTGTCGGC